TTTTATTTTTATTATATTTTAAATTTAAATTTTTAAGTTAACCCATGGGCTTCTGCCTTGTGTTTCGTATTTAGTGCCTGCATCTGGAAAAAGCAGAGGGTTAACAGTTATTTTCAAACCAGTGATAAAACTTAGGCCAAAACCTCTTGATCTTTCTGCTGCAACAGCGTTTCGTCTTCTTCATTCCGCAGTTCCAACTCCTCACGTTCTTGTTCCAATTGACCCTGCAGTCAAAGAAAGGACAAATTAGAAAGAAAAACACAAGCATTTATCTTCCACAACCCATTGCTTACCATGTCTTTCATGATTGAAATCTTAAATAAAACAAAAAAAAAGCATAAATCCTAACTTCAGTGTTAATAACATAAAGCCATTTCAGTATCATCTGACTCACCCATTTGCACAGGTTTTAGACTTGCATAGATAGAAAGGCTTTGCTACCAAGAGGAAGAAGAAATAGACAACTGAATTTACTGTATACAGTTAAGACAGCCTCATTCTGCATGCTCTTTATTAGCCTGTATTCATTACCTCCTATACTTTGGATTTAGCTCTACGATACTTTGTATCATATCTAGCACAGACAGATGAATCCACACAAAATGAAATCTATAGAAAAGACTGGTAAGCAATGCCACTAACATTAATCATCTTCATTCCCAATCAGAAACAACTAATACAAAGTGTTTATTCTTTGCAAGCCTAAACTCTACTGCATCGAAACTTCAGAAGCCGCATAATCTAAGTGTTCACATTCAACAACACCAGGGCTTAGAGAACACTGTTCGCTGTAGCATTTTGTGAGCAGTTACTGCAAATATGGTCATAGGTCAAGGTGGGTAAGAGGGCGGCACCTCATTGGATCAGGCTACACATAATCCTTAAATATGCAGTCTTCATTCATTGATTCTCAACCATCTTCAGGACTCTGTAATTGTGTACATGTTCTCATAACATTTTTTTGCATTACTGACTCTACACCGAAGTAGCTTGAGACAATGATCGGTTATTACTCCCAGGCTTCCTAGCAGGCCTCTCAAACATTTTTGCAAGGATTACTAGCTTTACTTGCACCAGCTTTTGTTCATAATTAACTACAGAATATAGTCTACTTGTTTTAAGTTACTTCCATGTAAATCTTAAATTCGTTGGTTTTGACTTCAGGCTCCCTCATTTTTTTTAATAACATTTTACCTCATCATTTGTAAGTTTTCCTTCCCATGTACTGACTAATCATTTCAGTTATTATTTAGAAAAGTGAGATTAAAATATTTGCTTTATGCTGCCTTCTATCCAAATCATTATACAGAGATTAGAAATATACAAAGAGCTACAAGATGCCACACCATCATATACTATTTATAATTATTTATTATTAAGTATTATTAACCTGATGTTGTTCTTCAAGTTTCCATTGGATCTTTAGCTCTTCTTCCTTCATTTTTCTTAACATTTCGAGTTCTACCAGGGCTGCCTCCCGTTCTTGTTCCAGCTCAATCCTCTCCAACATTCTCTATTTCAGAGGTAACACAGAATCAATTTAAAAAATAAAGAGACGTTAAATAGCATCAATTATATTGTTGTGAATTTTTTTCCCCAAGCTGGATACACCTTTTTTTCTTCATCTAAATTTCTTCTGTAACTGTAAATCCAATGTGCCAGGTACTCTATTGGATCCGCTGGCTGAACCACTACAACCTCTGCCAGTCCCTTTTTCAAGCAGCTTCCCAGGCATCTTTTCAGATAGTCAGACTCCATTCACACCTACTAACCACAAAGAGAGAGACGTTAGCCACCAGTGTCAGAAGGTTTTTAAGAATTATTGCCTTAGGCACCAAATACCAAATGTGACATTACCCTTTTTATTAACCTGGCAACTAATAGAAGAAAGTTACTTTAATTTGAGATTGGTTTCGTTCTTAAAAGCTCCAGTGTTGGATCAGTTATACAAAGCACTGCAGAAAAATGCTCACTCCTCTACCCCCCCCACCCTCCTTACTGTTTAGGCATGTATAATTCAGAAACTGCTTGGAAATATGCTGGTAATTCTAGGCCAGCATGATGGGGGGAAAAAAAAAATCAAAACCACAGCAGGACATACGAAACTTCTGTACAGGTATCTGAAGAACAGCAAGTAAGTTCTCTGAGTGATTAAGGATAGATTTTAGTTCGAACTAACAAAGTTATCTTTAGGATATGTGTAGAACACCAGGGCCTGAAGCAATCACCCCACGCAGTTATGAAAAGCACAGATGTCTGCACACACAAGGTTTTAGTAGCCCTGTGCCAGTAAACACGTCACGCATCCCAAACCCGACTTCTGCAGTGCTGGAACACTCCCCGTTTGCTGACAACGGGACGGAACCCGTCCCGCGCAGCCCCGACCGGAGGAGGCGGCGCATCCCTCGCCGGGAAGGCGCTAAGTCCCCAGGACACGCCGGGCAGTAGGGCTTTGCTGGGTGGGTCTGACACATCGGCCTGCCTCGCCCGGCGCTCCGTGGGCAGTCGCTGAGACCGGTGCTGTCACCACCCCGCTTCTGGCACCGCGGGGTTGCGCGCTATCGCTGAGGTAATTACCCGGCCTGCGCTGTAGCTGCCCTCGGCCTACCCCGCTCG